ACCGCTCTAGTGTTGTGGTAAACTATGGTACCATGGTATATGTTTGAAGGGCAATTCTAAAGTAGTTCAGAACCTACACAGCAAGTTCTAATTCCTAAATTTGTTGATATGATAAAGGGCACAAGTAAGTAAATAATTAAGTATGACAACACTTAAGAACATAGTAAACATCTGAAGAAAGCACTTGTGGTAAAAGGCAGCAAAGTGATGCAGTGTGAACAGAAACCTGAAGTGCATGTTTCTACAACTTCACACCAGAATGAAGGCGGAGGGTGGGTGTACAACAGAATGTGTGCCAGGAGGGGAAAACAGGGCAGAGAAAAGGAGGGAATATTGGAGGGAGGTATCCAAATGCATGCTCAGTAAACAGAGATTGAGGGTTTGGGTCCAGATGGCAGCTGTTAACTCTGCTCACACGCACAGCTGATTAAAAACACATTGCGCTGTGCTCCACACTTACCCATAAACACACGCACACTTCAGCAGATAAAACTTAGTTACATGGGCAGTGAGTCAGACTACATGAACATGTAAGCATTCCTTAGAGACATTAAAAATTGTGCCTCTTTAGACATTCAAAGTAAAGACATTCAAAGTCTCCTAAAACAGATATAAGAAGGATGTCCAAGATGAGATAAAAGATGAAATCCTTCAAAAAGCAAGCTCAAAACACAAGATCAACTTCTTTGAATTTATATCAGTTTCATATATTTTTTAAAAACATTTCTACAAAAATCTAATAACTACAAAAATGCCAAATGGTGTAACTATCATCAGGCAAAAAATACTCAAATATTTTCTTTCCACCTTAAATAAACTAGTGTCCACAACTATTTTAATAATAATTCAAACATATTTGTCAATGTAAAAAAAAAAAGACCCATTAATATAGAGAGGTGTCCTTAAGATTTCTCAGAAATCATTCCTTATTATTAAAGGTGAAAATGTGTAATTTTTAAATCAACTTAATAACCTATACACACCATGAATGTCCTTTCTGTTTATGGTTTTTTAGTCACGTGACAACAAAATGGCTTCAATTGCTGATTTGCGAGATACATTTTTTATGTTAATAATATTTTAAAGCAAAATTGCTTAACTGCACACTTTAAAGAAATAATAATAATAATGAGCCAAAATATGCCAGCTTAAAAAAATCTTTAAAATATCAGAAATTACTTTTAATTCAGAAACTGAAAAAGTTGCTTTTTGTCTGAATCGCATGAAAAAAACATTGTCGTCACGTCGTTGACCAATTTATTATAAATTTGTAAAATATATTTATATTCATTTATAATGTGCATATTCTGTAGGATTCTGATATAATTAATGAAACGCTAATTATTTATCCAAAGCTACTTGTTATAAATACAGCGCCCTAAAGCAAACTGACTGCTCAAGGGGACAACAGTGATAAATTATGTTACGCTTCGCGGTTTTTAGACCTAGAACATCGGTTTCCAGCCCAGACCTACGAGCACCATCCCTGTATGCATATCTTCTCCACTCTTTCCATCTTTCCTCGGACCGCTCATACCGGCTGGCTCACGGTGCGTCTGGCCGCTGTCGGTGTCTTCTGGGCCGCAGCGGCTCTGGCGCGGCGGATCCTCCTCGAACACGAGCTTGAACTCGAACTCTCCCTCCTCCCATCCCGAGCCCGGCGCGGCCCCCATCTCTCAATCCGAGAAAAGTACGACCGAGCCCGGCTACAGATATATCACTGACCCTCTCTCACTTCTCAGTATCGGCTCCGTTTAAAACTCATGGGAGTCATACAGCTTCTCCAGAATGTCACTTTGCACGATCCGCTTTCTCCTTCGTGCGCCTTCCTTTTATTATACTTAAGAATTAAACGTTATCCTCAAGTTTAAGTATCACAGTTGCATGGATCATTTTCTTATCTCCGCATCGCTTTTGCAGTTTATCAGCTGCTCATCTCTTTCTTTAACTTTTTTTCTTCCCAGTAGATTCGCTTGCGATTTCCGTGACAGTCTGTTATTATAACTTCATCTCACGAACTTCCATCGTTCAGAACCGGCCATGTTCACAGCCTCAAGTCCCACATACGTTCACGTTCAATAACAAATATCCGTTGAATTTAAATTCATACCATAACTCCTCCGCTGCCATAGAACAAAAAAGTTATATCAAGTTCTTTTTCGTTCTTTACCCTTAATTACCTTTGGGCGGGTTCTTCAGTACCGTTACTCTCTCCCTATTGGCTGTCTGACCTGTCAATCAACAGACCCCCTCTTTCTTAGCTTTACGTACATGCCCGCTTTTGCTGCAAAGTGTGTTGATTGGCCAGTGAGCACAACTACATATTTTAGAGTGAAGTATAACTTTATGATACCCACAAGAATCTATTCCAACACACATTTTTTAAAGCAGAAACACTTTCTCTTCTGTCCAATAGAGAATTCCCTGGACAGGCACCAGTGAAAGCCTTGTCTGGCAAACAGGTTCTGAGAAAAACATATTTCATTCGTTTTCCACATGCTTAAGACAGTGGCTATTTTTGTTTCAGACAAGACACTGATGCTGAAGGCTGATCCATCAGTGACGCCATAACGACAGTCATTCCCTTTCTCTCTTCCCATCATACTTTTCCCCTACTTTGTCCCTCCCCTTCCTTCTCCCCAACTCTTTATCCCAGTTCTCCCTCCTTTCCCTCCCCCTGTAAGATCTGTTTCTCATTATCCTCTGTAGTCTGCACTCTGTCTGAGACGGGAGATGAAAAACTTAAATAAACATGCTCTCTCTCTCTCTCTTTCTCCTCCTCTCTGACAATTCTCACAATAATTATCTTTTGTCTTATTTTAAAGCTCGTCTCGTGTTTGATGCTTGGAAGTGAGCTTTCCATGGCATCCGTTGTTTGATAAAGTTGATTCACAAAGGCATCCGTCAGGCATTCATCAGTGCTGGAATTACATTCCCATTTCATTTAGTGATGTGAATAGCCATAATTCTGGAAGAGAATAGAACACATAAAGAATATGAACCTTTTTGAAATTGGATCTCATGGTCTTAAGCACAGGGCTTGATTATGAGGCTGCACATTTCATCAAGTTATAAAAATATCAGAGTATCTACAGTTATGCGTGAGCTTCTCATCAGCAGCAATCTGTGCTGTCTTTATATACACTAGACCAGTGTTTCCCAACCTTTTTTTAGTCGCGGCACGAGACCAATTTATATGACAGATTTTAATGTAGGCTTTTATACATATGTAAACATTGTTTAATTACCATTATAGCTTAAACTATCTCACAAATTTTTGCTCACTCAGTGTTTTTTTAATCTTACAGTGGGGTAATTTTGCTGCAGTAGCACGACTGCTTTTTTGAACATTTTAGCAATTTAAAAATATTAAAAAAGGATTTTTTACACGGCACCCCTGCTCTGGACAGACGGCACCCCAGGGTGTCGCGGCACCCCGATTGGGAAACACTGCACTAGACCAAAATCACATTTATGGAAGAATCCCATTTGGAGCATGGATAGAATGTGTAATATTTTTAATAATGGACACTGATAGACATGATGACTCATGCAGTGAGTTTGTGTGTGAAAATACAATTCCCTATTCACTGACATCCTTTTACTATATATACTGTAAAAAACAAAGGTTCTAATGCCATATAAGAACTATTCTGCATTCCTCAAAGAATCTTTCAGTGAACAGTTTTTAGTCTGAAGTCTGAACAACATTTGAACCTTATAAAGCCTATACTAACTGTATCAGATTTGGTGTGTACATTTCTAAAGCCTCTAAGTTAGCATCATGATTAAAACTTGTACACAATCTTCAACATGCCTTCTGTCATGTGATCGGTAGTTCATAAGTTTTCAGAAAGTAAAAGGCCTTTTAGTATAATTCTAAATGTCCTACACGTCTTTTTGCTGTGAAATCTTTACTGATTTTTGTGAAGCAACAGTAAGAAGAACTTTTCTATTGTTAGTAATATTTCATTATATATATATTTATCTTATTTTTCATGTTAAAATGTGAGAATCAAATATGATACATCGAGCATATTTTAAGGAACATTTATTTGTATCTCTTAGTAATAATTGTATTGCATGTTTGGATCTTTTAGCCCCCACAAATAAAACTACAGAGCTTTGATCAGAAAACTAAGCATTTAAATATAATCTTACTAAGACATATTACTGGGACATATAGGGGCTTCTGAATAAAAAGTGACTTTTTTCACTTAAGCTTCATATTCATCTATATGAGCAATAAAATATGATGTATCAAATATGATATTTAACAAAAAATACATATGCAAAAGTCAATTTTTTAAAACCATTTTTCTGACTATTATTTCATATTTCAATCTTTACAGGGTTAATAATTTAAAGAATCTTTTTAAAGCGATGGAACATGGATGGAATCATAATGCCAATAAAAATAGTGCTGAAAGTGCCATATAGCACACAATTTCTTGGATGAACCTGACTCTTGTGTCCTTCTCTGCCCTTCTATTTAAAACTCTTCTGAGAACCAAGAGAATAATGTACATTACAAATAAGTATGGCTTCAAAAGACATGGAATAATGAAGATGAGTTATGAACCAGTTTTATGATACTTTTATCCTTTAATTTAGGAGCCTAACAGTACCCATCCCTATTCATTATACAGAAAAAAACATTCTTCAAAGTTTCTCCTGCTGTGTTCCACAGAGGAAAGAAAGTCATTATGGAACATGATGGTGAGTAAATGATGCTTGAATTTTCAACTATTCCTTACATAAACCGAGAAAGTTGTATAGTAATCTATGATAGAGATCTATCAGATAAGTTGGTAAGAGCATGTAGAAGAAACCTGGGTGTGTGCAGAAGTGTGGAACTGTGTCATACACCACACCTTGTAGCCTGCAGGTTAGAAAAAAGAAACTTGTAATTTTGTTCAAGGAAAAAGACATAGAGAAATTGGTGTGTTGAAATATTGAAATATTAGGGAGGAGGAAGGATGGGGGGGGGTGGAGTAAATATGAACATGAATCTAGTAGTTTAGAGACAGAAAGAAGCAGTTGGATATTTATAAGTGTGCTTGATTGCTATAGTAGCCCATATAAAATTGAGATTTTCTGTGAGATCACCGAAAAAACAAGAACTTACGAAATTTTGACGAAACTATTTTAAAGTTTATCTGAGACAGTGGAAAGAAAAAGAGAGACCAACTTGGAGACCACACAACCTAACCAGCTCCATCTGGTCACTTCAGGGGGAACACGGTTCAGCCATTCGGATCTAATCAAGTGTATTGGTGAGTTACAAGAAACGCTCTTTGTTTTTGTTCTTTTTTTGTTCCTTTGTTTGTCTCTTTCATCATTTCCCAGTTGTCTAATTTTAATAAACCCATCCTTACAGAAATACATGACAGTCTTTCCACTTATTTCTCATAATCAGCCCATTTTTCCATCTCCCACTCTCTGTGATCACTCTCTGTTGATGCAACTGTGTCCAGTTTCTCAATTTCAAACATCTTTGAGGCTCTGAGGTCGGCATTGTGCGTAATCAGGGATGACTTTTGTGACAGCATTGCAGACTGGACAATCTTATCTTTTTGCATACTGATTACAATACTGATTCACTACAACCTGTTCACTATGGTTCAGTTGTGACTACCGTACTTTATCTGTTTCTTTCAATTCCTTGCTTTATTTGTGGTCTTTTAACTTAACTTTAATATTTAATGTTTATTCTTTAATATGGTATTTTTTTCTTGACAATTGCTGTGATAAAATAAACTGATAGCACTTTAGTATAGGGACCAATTCTCACTATTAACTAGTTGCTTATTAGCATGCCTATTGTCAACGTATTGGCTGTTTATTAGCATTTTTAGGGTAGTCGTGGCCTAATGGTTCGAGAGTAACCCAAAGGTTGCGGGTTCGAGTCTTGGTACCGGCAGGGATTGTAGGTAGGGGGAGTGAATGTCCAGTGCTCTCTCCACCCTCAGTACCATGACTGAGGTGAGACCCTTGAGCAAGGCACTGAACCCCCAACTGCTACCCGGGCGCCGCAGCATTGGCTGCCCACTGCTCTGGGTGTGCACTTGGATGGGTTAAATGCAGAGCACAAATTCCAAGTATGGGACACCATACTTGGCCACAGGTCCTGTCCTGTCCTGTGCTGTCCTGTCCTGTCCTGTCCTGTCCTGTCCTTTCCTTTCCTTTCCTTTCCTTTCTGCATGACCATATTCTATAGATCCCTAATCCTAAACTTAACAACTACCTTACTAACTATTAATAAGCTGCAATTTAGGAGTTTATTGAGGCAAAAGTCCTAGTTAATGGTTTGTTAATGGCGAGAATTGGACTTTAAAATAAAATGTGACAAATGATCTTAATAAAATTGGAAGTAAAATTAGTTTCTTTCCAGATGAGGGTGAGTGTGAGGATGTGATCAGTGATATTACAGCAGCAGAGGCATTCCAAGTAGTTGAGCTCAAGATCACTCAGCAAGTTGTAGCACGTTGTTTTTCTTTTTCTTTTCACTGATGGGAGATTACTGGTGAAATATTTACATGGTTGCTGAGAGCCCATCCTTGATACTGGCTCACACTTTATTTGCCTCTGAAGGAAATATTATAAAAGGAAAGTTCACTGTAAAAATTATATTTATATTATTGGAGAATGTTTTACAAGAAAATACTACTTCAGTCTTCATTTCAGTACTTTGACAAAATTTCATAACTTAATGTGTAACTCACCATTTCTATAAAGGGGTCCTATTATGCTCTTTTACAAAGTCTTGATTTTGATTTGGGGGTGTACTAGAACAGGCTCTCATACTAGGTTGTTCGAAAAACACATTCTTTTTCACATATTTTACATTATTACAACACCTCTCTCCTCAGTCTGGCATGAAATACGAAGGGTGCTGTGATTGGTTATCTGGGCCAGTGTGTGTTGTGATTGGCAGCACTCGGCGCCTGGTCGGGAAATGTTACGTCCCTTACCATAGCCACCTGCGAGCTTCAGTGTAAATATTGTGTCAAAATCAAATCATTTTGAGCGCGATTTAAACCCGGGTTATTGTAACCACTCTAATTTCGTCTGCCTTGGGAAAGCTAGCGTGTCTCCGACATAGTGATAACACTTGTTGCCTTCTCTAGTGCAGCTCAACCAGGTCTCGTCCCATTCGTCGATATTTGTGATATCACAAATCCCGGAAAATATGCGTTGTAGTCCAAACGAGTCGTTCGTTGTAGTTTTTGAAAAGTGATTTCTGTTAAATAAAATATCTCCTTTTGAAGTGGACTTTGAGCTTTGTAACTTTGCAGAACTTTTTTATGCTCAAACAGCAACATTACAGACTAACTAAAGTTGAAAAAGTGAAAAAGCACAATAGGACCCCTTTATTTGTGAAATTATTCAGTTTATCCTATTTTCCCTATTTACTTTCAGTGAAAAGTTAATCCTACAGCAGTTTTTGATTCAGTATATAAAAAATTAACAGGTGACATGACTTCCCTACTGAAAAAATTAAATTAAATTGAATTAAATTATTCATTCATCCATCCATCCATTCAGGGTTAGGGATATAAAAGCATTTTACATCAGCTTCAAATAACGTTGCTTTCTGATTCCACCAGTTTTTCTGACGCCTTCCTGATAATGGGATCAGATAATGGGACTAGCTCCTTGGAGAACGTGACAAACAGTAACAGCATTGTGAGTAACAATATCTCTGTTACCTTTGGGGCCCTCATCCTCAGCATCGTCTTCCTCCTGGGTGTTCCTGGCAACCTCTTCATTATCTGGAGCATCCTGGCACGTGCCCGCAAACGTTCTGTCACTACCCTGCTCATCCTCAACCTGGCTTGTGCAGACGGTTGTCTGATGTGTCTGACGATTTTCTTTATAATATACCTAGCCAAGCAGAACTGGATATTTGGAACGGTCATGTGCAAGCTGCTTTTTTACTTGTGCAATACAAACATGTATGCTTCTATTATGATCATTACACTGATGAGTCTACACAGACTAGTGGCAGTGATGTGGCCCATATACTTGACTGCCTGCACTCGTAGACGGACAGTATTACTTGTGCTTGGGGGCCTGTGGATTGTCGTATTTCTTTTGGCACTTCCTGCTTTAATATTCAGACGAACAGAGAAGAATTACAATGGGAAGGAACGCACTGTGTGTGCAACTCATCACCAGCATGTGAGTATCCACAGCATGTGAGTGCCTTTGCTCCACTAATACTTGAGAGTAACACTGTATATCAAACTACTCAGCATTATACTTCATATATCTCATATCATACCACAGACTTGCCCTTGTTTCGTATAATGCAGCTTTAAAAAAAAAATAAAAAAAAAATCAAGGTATAAATTATTTAGGTATTTTAAAAATATATATTTTTATTAACCATTTCAATTCCTATGTCCACAATGTAATTATTATTTTTATTAATAGCAAAATGTTTTATTAAAGAATATAGTTTTATAGCTTATAATTATTAATATACTGACAGCCCCAGTTTCTGTTATTAAAAATATCATAATTAAATACTTAAGTAATAATTATAGCTTATATAAGAGGACTTTGAATATTGTGTTGTACAGCTGGGGGCCTTTAAGTCAAAAAGGCTGAGATCCAGTAATATAAACACAATTGGCACCAACTTGTGTTCAGTTATCAATTATATTGAAAACGGCTTCAGGAGACTTCAATATTAATATTACTGTACTACAGGGGTGTCCAAACTCAGTCCTGGAGGGCCACTGTCCTGCAGAGTTGAAATTCTGGCCTAAACTCTGCAGGACAGTGGTTCTCCAGGAGCAGGATTGGACATCCCTGCTGTACTATAATATTCAATAGTAGGCTATTACTATAACAGTACAAACGGTTTATTTTCTGATAATGAACGGCTGACTGTGCACTATCTCTTACACAACTCCATAATTCATACATAATTGTCTTTTATGAACAGGGAGTATTTCAATACACACTTGAAACAGTGGTGGGCTTCCTGGTGCCATATGTGATCATAGTCAGCAGTTATGGGTGTATCCTTCGCCGCCTCAGACAGACCATGTTCAAGAGAAGGATACAGAGTGAGAACCTTATTCAAGCCATTATTGTGACGTTCTGCATTTTTTGGCTTCCTTACCACTGTATTAATATAGTGCAAGTAAGTCGTTTTTATTTCAATCTCTTTGGTAATCTTTTTCCAAATTTTCCTAAGCAAAATGTATGAATTACCATTTGTCTTCTGATCAGGTAGCAGCAGCTCTTACATCAGATGGATCACTCAAAAAGAGGCGAGTTGAAGATTTTAAAGTATGGTCCACAGATATTTCACCAACAGAACAGAACCATTGTGACCACTTTCTCTGTCTATCCCCAGACTGGATAACATCTGGCAGTCCAGCCGTGTGGTTACGTCCGCTTTGGCTTTTATCAGTAGTTGTGCCAATCCTGTCCTCTACACCTTTGCTGGACGCTCCTACATCAAAGCTGACGGCTTGGCATTCATGGCCAGACTCTTTGAGGGCACTGTCCTGGACTATGGTGCACAGAGAAGCCGTCAGAACAGAGATGTCATCAAGCTCTAAACCTCATTGGAGCACAGACAGAAAAATGAATCTTGGACAATAAATTGGATTCTTTTGCATCAGTTTGTATTGTGACCGATACTGTTGGGAATAAACAGGTCAACAATTTCAACCAAAGGGAAAGCAGCCTAAAGACCTGTTTTTTTTTTTATTTGATTTAACGCCATAAATGAGCTATATGCAGCTTGCTTTCATTTTGAATTAGCCTTCAAGTTTACAAACTGCTGATACAGAATTACCCCCATTTGAAGACTGCATTGCCGTTATACATTCATTGGAATAACCATGGTAAATCCAGACTTGCATTCTGTGTATATAGAAAATCTTTGCATTACCTCTTGTGAATTTGTACAAAGATTGCATTAATACTTAAAACACCAGTGTATACATTTACATGTTTTAGTCATATTGTGAATTCACTTTTTGAAAGTACAAACTCATGCAGGAATCACACCTTTATGGTCTTGTTGGAAATATTTAAAACAATTAAATTTGGTTTAAAAACAGTTTATGCATAAAGCTACTAAAGTAGTCACACACACATGAAATGAAACACCCAATCTCTTTTTATAGCGGACTTTAAAATTCATTGCTTGTACACGATCCACACCATGAATCAGCCATGTATTTTAAAATGAGAATTTATTGTAGCAGTTTCAAATCATTACATCACTGACTGACAGTATATTGCTGGCATCTTTCTGAGTTCCAAGGATAGCAAGCACATGGACATACTATACTACAAGTTACAATTATATACTATAGTTTTCTACGAAATAATTGGGTTTTTAAAATAAAGGTCAGTGGACTTCATTAAAATCCATAGAAGTCAGTCTGGTCACATGAAGGAAATGCCTATTAAAAAAAAAAAAAAAAAAAAAAAAAAAAGGAAAATGTGATTAATAAAAAAAAGATATTAAATAAGGGGGGCTTTCACAGTCTGAACTTTGTATCAGAAAAAAAAAAGACTACCTTGCTCAACACTTTACTGCTTTCAGTCGACAAGGTACCTGCAGAATATTAGTGGAGATTAGAACAAACATACTAAACCGGGGTTAGTTTTCACCTCTGAGCAGGTTTTTAAAATCAGAGCATGTTAATAATCACTGGCTATCAGAAACACGGACTTACATGCAACTCATCACTTCGGCAAAAGACACTTGCTTGCACGAGACACAAGAATTTGCACTCACCTCATATCCATAAATGCGGGTGCCTGTAAAAAGTAAACGAACATCGCATATTACAAAAAAACCCGAACGTTTAGACATAACTGGGGTTTGGTTTCACCGTTTAACACTTTAATCGGAGCATGCTAATAATCACTGGCTATCAGAAACACGGATTATCATGCAATTCACCACCTCAGCGGGAGGCACGCGAGATTTGAACTCACCTCATGTCCATAAACAAGGGTTCCTGTAAACAAACAGAAATGCTGCATATTAGAATGAATTCCGAGTGAAACCAAAACATCACATGGCTGCATTCCGCAACTTTAACCAGTCAGTGCAGTAGGTTTGTAATCATCCGATTCAGGTGAAACACGGACTGCAAAAATCATCATGTCTGGGCTGAGCAGCGGCGGACTCGATGCAGGCTAAACCGCTACAGTAATGATACAGTCGGGCTTAACACGAGGCATCTGGATGTAGTTAGTAAAGCAGATGCACCTGCCAATTCGGCAAGCAACAAACCTTCTCTCAATTAAAATCACACATTAGCTTTCAGTATTCCTGTGAAATATGAATGTTATGAACTTACAGAGTACAATCCAATGGGCCCGTCACATCGATATGATTGGGAAAACGCCTCGATTCCATCTATATTTTACAAACGGTCCAAAAAAACCGGCAGCAGGCTAAATGCTTACATTTACAATATATGTAGGTTAAAACGATATAAATGGGCAATTAAATGAGTGTTTTAAGTATTAACAAAATAAAAAAGGGCATTCAACCCCATTACTTCGATGACAACACACAAATGTTACTACTTTATTGAACGTCGCCAGCAGAAAGGACGTTACTCGTGCAAGAGGTCGTATTTATCGCCTAATCAACCACGTGTTTCTACAGGAAAAAAGCGCTTCCGGTTGCGGCACCCCACCCCCACAAATTATTATTAAATGGATCAAAGTGAACTCATTAAATTCAGTCAGACTTGATGTGACTTATATATGGAAAAGTTTTGATTAATTCTTATATTGTATTAATTGTCAGCAGATCTAGCATGACGCATTTAATAGGCATTATGAATGCCCAATAAATTACAATAGATGTCGTAAAATTATTACAAAAAGTGTATGTTAATAGAGTGTACATGATTTACCATGTCATATTCGTAGTATCATATTATTAATTGCTACGTAATAGCATTGGCACATTTAAACAGTTAAGTACGATAATGCTGATAGTTTAGTTGAAATAATGTAACCTGCCGCCCTTATCAACATGGCTGCGGTTACGTTCCTGTTTGTGTCGATCACGCGGTTAACATACGATACTCTCATTGGTTTAACCTTCGAAGGCAGAGAAGGAATGTAAAAGAAGTGGATTTCTGCAAGTTGTCGGGATAAACGGACTGTACTTTAGAAGCACAATGAGAGTTGTAATAGGTATATCACTTATATTCATTTTCGCATTGTCACTGCATGATAGCGTAACAAAATAGTTCATTTTGAGTGCTAGTGTGTAACACTTAAGAGCCTCTTGCGATATAAACATAGCTCTGATATTAAAATATTTAAAGAATATGTAAAGTATGTAAAGAGTGAAATATCCTGTCACCTTCTTTGAACGCATGAGATCTTGTTCTTATAGCATGACTGGCTTCATTTATCAGTTGGTTACAGTATAAATGAGAATTTAATTTTGCTTGAGGTGATCTAGCAGTTTAGTAAGTGCTTTAACAGCGCATGCGCGTCTACACGTGCGCGGGATGGTTGCAAACACAATAAGTATGCAAAAATGTCATTACGTAAAAAATGTCATGATTTGATCCAAATTGCTGTACAGTATGGGACAAGACATCTACACTCCATATTCTAGTTGCTATACTGTGAATACAGTTGCATACTTGCCCCCCCCCAACCAACCCCTTTTTTTACCACACTGGCTCTATTTGATTGAAACATTAATAAAGCTTTATGTATTTTTTTCACTGTCATCAGGCGGAGGATCAGGGTTTGTGGGTCGTGAGCTGACACGGTTGTTGAAAAGCAAAGGTCATGAAATCACACTTATATCCAGGCAGCCTGGCCCAGGAAAAATAACATGGGTATGGTTTAACTTACATTTAAGATATGCACTAAAGTCGACTTTTACTTAGTTAATCTATATTTACTTTTAAGTTCAAGCTGAAGTAATACCTTGATATTAACCTGATTACAATGTTATTCAGTATTATAGCAATGATAATGAATTGCTTTGTAATGCCCAGCTCTGGGGTCATTCATGTGTAATGTTAAAATACCTCTTAAAGGTAAAGTTAAATCTAAATGTTGCATTTTGGTAAGTTTGACTGAGGCTTACCTGTCCTAACAGGCTGATGTAGAGTCAGGAGGCCTCCCGCCATGTGAGGGCGCTGTGAATGTAGCAGGGGAGAATATTATGAATCCTTTAAGATGGTAAGGATTTTGTTCATAGTGACAATGTAAATAAGTGATTGCATCAAAATAATGAGTTCTTCTTTTTAATATGGTTATGTTAATATAATTTTAATGTTTTCTCTAGGTGGAATGAAAGTTACAAAAAAGATCTGGTCTCCAGCCGAGTAAACACGACCAGAATTCTTGCCCAAGCTATTGCTGCTTCACCTACTCCACCACATTCATGGGTGCTTGTTACAGGAGTAGGTAAATAACAGGTGTTTTATAGCAAGCTAGACATAATATTATTATATATATTTTGTTTTAAATAATGAATAATAAACACATCTGTCTCCATTTATGTTCATTTATGTTCTCCTCTATACTGATTTGATCAGTTAAGGGAAAAAAGTCAATTATAACGTGAAAGTGACGTGACGTGGCCAAGTATGGTTTTATAATGTAATTCTTAAGGCAGACTTTACATGCAGCTTTTCTCTGATTTTGTCTTCAGCGTGTTATAAACCTAGTCTTCAAACCCAGTACACTGAGGAGAGCGAATGGACACCATTTGACTTCCTGTCTCATTTGGTGAAAGAGTGGGAGGCGGCAGGGCAACTACCTGAAAACAGCGCTAAGAAAACAAGACAAGTGATCATCAGACCAGGTGAATCTAAACAAATGTCTCACCACAGTGCTAGATCTCACCTGCAATGTAACAAAATAACATGTATTAAATTACATTTTAAAATTTGTTAAAATAGAAAAAAATTGTATTAAAATGTTTTAATAATATTTCACAATGTTACTGTATTTTTGATCAAATAAATGCAGCCTTTGTGAGCATAAGAGACTCAAAAACAGAAATAAATCTTACAAACCTTTGTTACAGTAGTGTAATTATGTACTTTCTTCCACTCACCCTCAGGTGCAGTGTTAGGGCGTGACGGTGGCGCCATGAAACAGATGTTGATTCCCTTCTGGCTTGGCCTGGGTGGGACGCTTGGCTCAGGACGACAGCCCTTCCCTTGGATCCATGTGTCAGACCTTGCTGGCATCATTGCCCATGCCTTGGAGCCCAAAGAAGAGCCATCCACAGAGCCAGATGTATTTAATGGAGTTGTGCCTGCACTGAATACCAATTTTGAATTCACTAAGGACTTGGGCAGGACTCTAAAAAGGCCTACTATCTTCCCTGTGCCTGGCTTTTTCTTGGATGTCTTCTTCGGTTCTGAGAGAGCTGTCATCCTCACACAAGGCCAGAAGGTGGTACCCAAGAAAACTCTTGAGTCTGGCTTTGAGTTTCAATATCCAGATCTTACCTCTGCTTTAAAAGAAATTGTTGGATATTAGTAATCAGTCAAAACAGAGAAGAGACCTGAGGAGATTGTGATTTTATTTAAGCAGACAAGTGCAATATATTTCTTATAATATATCATTTTAAATTTAAACTGAGCATATAAAAAATAAAGCTTGCTTGTACTTGCTTGATTTAATGTAGATACTCAGAAATATACATTGTTCTCAGCTCCTTTGTTTGTCCCCCTTAAGAATGAGTCATATCTGTCTGTGTGTACAAAATGAGCACTTCCTTTGTAAATAAATGTTTATATGAAAATTATTGTCCAGCTGTGGTATCTGTGGTATATATATTCCATCATTATATAATCACAGCAGATGTTATGTCTCATGATTTTGAGTGGCTATATTTGACTCATCAGTCTGATCCATGGGGTCATCCTCTACATGGAACATTTACATATTTTTCTACAAAACTCTACTTTTAGAACAAATCAACACATGATAAAATCTATATATGGACACAATTCACTTACACCAACTGTTTAATGTTAGATATACTCAATAAGCTTCTTGAGTGATGTATCACATCACTGACTGCTGTAAAACTGGAAATATGACCAAAATAATAAAAACTTGCTAACCTCTAAACGAATCATGTTTATATATAGCACAAAAGTAAAAACTGGAACTGGTAGCGAAAGTTTTACTATACAAAATCCTGCACATATAGGCCTATGAAAATACTCAAAATACTACTGGGACGTTGACTTTTCTGGTGGTGTAGTATAGTATACTCCATGTAAAAGTATTGAAAACTTTAAAAACTTTTATAATTATTATGCATGGAGCTATTAGGACATGGGATTTAAAATAATCCCAAACTAAAAACTAGCAAAGCCAAGGGTGTTTAAAAAATTGTGAAAATTTTAAATGTACAGCTTCTCTTATTAGTTTATTCCTAAAGGTGTATGTATTATTTTAAATCGTTTTTTTTTTAATGCAAGAAATTTGGTTGGCAACGAGTCCGTTTCTGCTTGTTTCAATAGTATTTTCTTAATAAAATAGATAATTTCATGATATAATGTTTTATATTCCAAAATATAATTCTGAAAACATAGAGCTTTAAATTTGTATACATGTTGTATGTTTAGAAAAAAGGGCCAATGATACGTCATGCATAAACTACCCAATCACTGCGAAAGCATTTACATAAACACCACCCTTAACGTTCGGCCTGAGAATAGTGTGCAATATTTTAACTAAAAACCAAACAATTATCTGGGAAACGAAGCTGACATGAAATGTCTTACAAATATACGTCTTATAAATGTTTTACTTTTCGCCGCCCTAAATGACTCACCGTCATTGTAAAGAGTCGCACAGTCGCGAGGTTAAATAAAGAGGTACACCCTACGTTATACACCGGAGTGGAAGGAAGCTCACTGTAGAGGTCACAAACGGAGTGCTCGTCACTCGACCAATCATCTCGGGGAAGGTCTGAGACGACAGCCAATCGCTGTCCTCACAGGACATCATCTGAACAGATGAGCGAGCGCACAGAAAACATGAGTCAGGGCGCGGTGTTCTCGTACGAGACGTTGAGTCCCGCGCAGTTTCGGCGGATCAACTGATGCGATCCCGGCCGACTTGGAAACACTCGCGGCTGGCTAATGAGTTCAATGTGTGAGCTAGTACAAGATACTAGAACCTAATTCAGACTACTCTCCCTCCGCTCTTTTGCGCTAATATCTTTAGAATTTTGCAAATTAAGACATATGATATTGATATGATACAAGAATTATGACAGTGACATATACTCACCCGTTGCACGCCTTTAAAACATAAAGCCACGTGGCATCTTGTACATTTAACATACATTCGGCTGCCTAGTAAATACATGTTTATTCACGATGATCAAAATCAACAACAAATTAGATATTTGATTAAATTAACACTGGTCACAGTATGCTCATGTGGTCGTCGGCAATACGACTTCAAAATAAATCCGTCTAGAAACGAGCTCAATGCTCAGTTCGTTCCCAGACAAAAGGTCCGCGCTAATATATTTTTGGCGCCATTCGGTACACCGAAGTAGAGATCTTAAATCTTAGGTAGGTGCTGAAAACCATATAAATAATGTGATTATTTAAA